CGGTTTGTGGGCTGCAGCGGTGCCCGTGAGACACTAACACCAGCCCTGCTGCTGTTTGGGAGGGGGAACAGGCCCCCACCGGGGACGCCCATCCCCTCCACACCCAGCCCCCAGCTTTGCAGAGGGTTCCAGCACTGGTCCCAGCAGGCTGGTGGCACTGGGGAAGGGCTGGAGGGGAAGCCAGGCAGGAGTCGGGCACAGAGGGATGCTGCCAGGGGTGTAAAAAATAAAGAGTTATTTATTAGCGTTGCGTAAAGTGCGACCTCGGCGTGGTTTTACACTCGGAAGCCGTGGAAACGGCAGGAGAAAAGTTCAGAGCAGACCTGGAGGGCAAAGGGGAGAAAAAGCCCCGAGAAAGGGTGTGCTAAAAGGATACAAGAACTGTACAAAGGCCTTTAAAAAAAAAAAAAACCCACAAAGAAACAACACCAGATAAATTATTTACAGCTCAGATTGATTACAGGAGGCTGAAGGCTCGTGAGCTTCTGCAGGCTGCAAGAGCAAGAGGGGCTGAGGCGAGCCACGGGCCCTGAGCTGGCGTTTCTCCGGCACCTGGGTCTGCCTCGGGGTGGGAGATATACTGGGATAAAGCCTCGGGGCTGCGGCGTGGCCCCTGCTCCTGCCTGGCTGGGGCAGGAATTCGTCGTGATTTCCATGGTGAAAGACTCAAGGAAGGAGACCAGGCCCTTTACCTGGATGTTTCTGCTTAAAAATCAGCAGAGACGGAACGTGAGTGATTAAGACTTTGGAAGAACCGCGGGGCTGCCTCGCTGCTGGCCCGGGCTGGGGGCTTACGGGCCCGCTCCTGTGCTGGTGGCCTCTCCCGGGGCCATCGGCACATCCTCAGCGGCTCAGAGACTCTGCGGAGGTTTGGCAAGCAGGGAGTCCCAGCGCTGGAGACCCCGGCACCGCGGCGCTTTCCGTGCCGCTGCCTCGGTAACTCCAGGAGGGATCTGCCCCAGTCACAAAACCGGGTGTTTTTCTTGCCGGTGCCTCAAACTTCCCAGGGAGACCTGAGCTGAGCTGAATTCCTCCCATTTATGACCCAGCAGCGAAGACTCCGGAGCCAAAGCAGGACTGCAGCCCCAGTGGATGCATGAGCCGGGGGAGTCCAGCCCCTCTCCCACCCCAGAGCCATTTCTGGAGAGATTACGGAAAGGGACAAGAGGACTTGCTCATCTCGGCACTAAGCTGCCGCCAGCAGGACCCGCAGGGGACGTGTTTCGGGCTGGCAGCCTGGCTCACCCCCACTTCACGCTGGAATTGCTCCGGGGGTCTGAAACAGGCCGCAGGGAACACTGCCCCGCCCGCGCCGGAGGCAAAGCTACAGCTTCTTGGCTGAAGGAAACTCCTTCCCGGGCTCGGATCCTCTGGCAGAGGCCCTGAGCCACGCTCCGGCTCCTGCAGCAACGCTACACAACTCGCCGTTTCCTCGTCTTTGCTGTCGCACGAGGCTAAAAGGAATTTAACGGGGGAAAAATAGACAGCCCGGCCTCGAGCTGCCCAGAGAACGGGTCACCCAGAAGACGATCCGGCCTCTCGAGGAGCAAACCGATCTGGAACAAAGCTGCACGTGGGAGGGTGAAAGGTGGGCGCAAGGATGGGGAAGAGCTTTTGCCAACTTGGTGGATCCAATTAGCCAAAAAATAGTTGAAAAGCTCAGCAGGAGCCCAGCGCGGGGCCGGGACCGCTTTCCTCGCCGAGAAGCTTTGCGTCGACACGCAGCAGAGCGCCGCTCTGCCGGAGAGCAGGCTGCAGAGCTCGGCTTTAGCTCGGGCCTCCCTGGGCTTCCCCCGCCTCACGCTCTGCGTTGGCCGCGCGGTTTCGGCAGCCCGGTGGCCGCGGGGAATCGTACCCGCTGTGCTCTCCGCTGGAGACAGGCTGGAGCCACGCGGCTTTGATCCACTCTCCCGTCTGCTCGGGGGGAACGTGGATCAAGTTTGCAGCTCGAGCCTGTTTCTGGGTTCCTTCAGAGACCTTTGCACCACCGTGGGTGAAGGTCAAGAGGCTGGAGCAGATGGGGCTGTTCCCCCACGCCCCTCGGCTTGTCAGGAAGGCCACTGGGACCGCTGGGGGTGAACGGTGCTGTTCTGAAGAGCACAAGCCCCTCACAGAGGGGGAAGAGGCTGCGTTGTCCTGGGACACCGCCACGAAAGCGCTGCAGAGCCCTCTTGACACCTCGGCCTGTCGATCCGGCACGGAGAGGGTTACTGCCTCTCGGTCTTGACGTGGTCTCCAATCATCCTCCTGTGATAGGTGGCCAGGAAGATGTCGTTGTCTCGGTGCTGTTCTGAAGAGCACAAGCCCCTCACAGAGGGGGAAGAGGCTGCGTTGTCCTGGGACACCGCCACGAAAGCGCTGCAGAGCCCTCTTGACACCTCGGCCTGTCGATCCGGCACGGAGAGGGTTACTGCCTCTCGGTCTTGACGTGGTCTCCAATCATCCTCCTGTGATAGGTGGCCAGGAAGATGTCGTTGTCTCGGGGGCAGTCGTAGTGGCAGGAGCACATCTTGATGAACATCATCTTCCGCTGGAAGAAGTCCCCCTCGGGGCAGCGGAACTCCACCTCCACGGTGCTGGTGACGTACGGGGTGCAGCAGCGGCCGTCCGTGCAGCTGCCGCAGAACTTGGGCCGGTAGGAACGGGTGCTGGTGGAGCCCGAAAACTCGAAGTGGAGGCTCTGGCGCGGCTTTGGGGTCCGCACACACTTCTTCCCCTTCTAGGGAGAGAGCAGGCGGGTTAACAAGGACACGACAGTCGGATGACAGGCCTGTGCTCTGTCGCCATCACTGGGCAGTAGGACACAGAAGAAAGGGGAGGCACGGAGCAAACCCTGTGAGATGGGCTCGTGCCCGACACGTACCTAACTAGGCGGTCCCCGGCATTCAGGGTGTTGCCTCCCCTCTCCCCAAGCCCAGTACCTTGGTTTTCTCCCCGGGGAAGTCGCAGGGCCGGACCATGCAGAGCCGGGTCTCCTTCTCCAGGCGGCACTGGGGGTTGTCGTTGGTGACTCGGGCAGAGATGCCCATGCCGCAGGTCTTGGAGCAAGCGCTCCACTCGGTGGTCTGCACCAAGCAGTTCTCCTGCAGGGTGTTCAGCTCCGGTTTGTGTGCCGGATCCTCCCTGAAAACTGAGCCGTGAGGAAGAGACACAAGGCAAGGTTCAGGGCTTGGGACAAAGCGTGGCAGCTCCGTGGCTGCTCCCAACTCGATCTAACTCTTCAGGGACAGTAGCAAAGGTCTGATCCATGCCGTGAGCTCCTCAGCCTCCCAGCAGAAGGAGGATGCAGGCAAGCACGGGGCCATTTCCTACCTCAGCCCAGCTCCAGCCAGTTCTGCTGCAATATCAGAGGGCGCACGAGCCTCCCCGCAGCATCGCTACGGTCTCCCCTTGCTGGGTCTGGAGTCCAACACCTGGTACCCGCGCCACGGCGCACACAGGGAGCAGTCGGCACCAGTTCCAAACCAGACGTGACTTAGGGGCCCAGTGCAAAGGCCGTTCGGATCCACCCCTACCCCGCAGCAAACATCCCCAGGCCCTGTCTCGCCTGCCCACCACTCACCCGCCATGGCTGTTTCGAAGCGGTTTTCCTCGCTGCCCTCCTCGCAGACCCACTCTTCGCAGCACTTATTGCGAAACTTCACCCGCCGGGGGTTGGGGCACTCCGGGGACGGCAGCCGCAGGTCGTCGGAGCAGAGGGGGATGCAGCCGATGGCCCCGTCCATGCAGATGCACTGCAGCTTGCAGGTGGGCTGGAAGCTCTCCCCGTTGTGGTAGATCTTGCCCAGCAGGTCACAAGTCGCGCCTTCGTGAGCTGTGGGAAGGGGGGAGGAAGAGGAGGAGGAGAGGCTTGAGCAGATGGCAGGGGGCTGGCACCAAGGGCTCTGCCTCAGGGGGTCACGGGGCTCCTGACGAAGGACAAGCGCTGCTGGATGCAGCAGGAGTTGGCACGTTCAATATTTGGCTCCCTGGAGCCAAGGCTATTCCTGACATCGCTTTTTGGAAGCTGGCTCCAGCTCTGCCAGACCTCCCAAAGTTCTCTAGAAAAAAAATCTCTTCTCCATTTGGATGAGCTACTAAGTGGGACTTTGTCTTTTTGGCTTGTAAACAGCCCGCTCTCCAGCCAGAGGTCTTCCAGTTCGGCCCCGAGAGTGCCACCGCCAGTGGTGTGGTGCAAGATGCATTCCTCACACCGCACGTGAGCCAGCGGCTTTGCTCCTCGCTGCTCCTAGGAGACCAAAAGGCATCACCCTCCTAAGAGCAGTTGGTTCCCCACATCGCTAAAGGTACCTACAAAAGGAAAACAGCGCTTGGGGTTCATGACCTTTTTGGCTTCTCTGTGAGGCACAGATCTCTTCTTCTTTCCAGCCACAATTTTTTCTATTTCTCTCTGTTCTGGTCTCCAGATCTCTCATCTCCAGCCCTCCTACGAGCCTTTCACTCCTTCCCCATCAAACTTAAATGAGCAAAAAAGGAAACGCAACAGTATCTGACACGTGGTTCACGGGCGCGAGCAAGACTCACAAGTTCTTACGTCCGTATTAGCCAAATTTTTTCCAGTGGAAGTTTTCCAGCAGAAAACTCTGATTTGGTTAAGAGTTTTGCAGGCCCAGATCAATGCCAGGAATGTTTTCAACGAGAAACAACTGCGGCATTTCAGTTTGATATCAAAGATTTCCTTTACGCTCTCACAATAGCTCAACCAAAATACTTGCTGGATGGTATCCATAGGGGGAAGCACTTCGCTCGGGTGATTATTTTAGATACTACAACGATCAAGATGAAACATTTTGATATACTGGAAGTGGCAAGTTTTGACCCAGCCAAACGAGCATTCTCAATAACGCACGGAAAATTTTGAGATTTGTTTTGTTTTGTTTTGTTTTTTATTTCAGCTTGAAATGAAATGTTGAAACCTCAGAGTTGTTCACGGGACAGAAATCCTGCTTTTGGACAGCTCTCGTCAGCTGCTGCTTTCTGCAATCCTGACCCTTAAAGAACAAAAAAATCCATGCAAGCCTCTATTGGGAAGTTACCAAAATGAAGGATTCTTGGCCGCTTGCGGAGGCTTACCAGGAAACCTGATCTATTTTCCCCTTAGTCCTGCTCGCCCGTGGAACATTGTCTCACACAAAAAGTGTTTGGACCAAACAAGGAGCGAGAGCCTCTTTCCATCCCACCTAGTCCTTGAGGGGACACAAATCCTTCCGGGCTGCCAATGCCTTGGTTCTCACCAGGGCCTGGATCTCAACTTGCAACGCTTTTCAACGCCGTTGGTACAAAAATACTCCTGTGCTTCTCCTGAGAAGATTCGAACCCCTCACTTTTTCCACCAAAGTGCACTTTCCCTCCACACAGCCATTCACACTTATTTTTAAATCCCCTTTCACTGGTTTTTAGCCCAAGCCCTCTCCCTTCCCGATGAACTGATCGTGCCGTTCCCTCAAGCAGCTCTCCACCCCCCCAAGGAATGGCAGCCGGCTCGGGGGTTTTATTATGTTTTCAAAACTCAATCGTTTTGTCATGCCCTTCATTACCCTACAATGACCTCACTTTCCCGCTGACCTGATCCAATTAAAGCGCCCAAACGGATTGCGCCAGCGGAGTGAGGCGGCTCTTTATTCACCAGCTCCGCTTGGCACCGCTGCCACCTCCTGCCTCCAAACACCGAGTCCAGCCAAGGAGACTTTTGCCCTTTTCCGCAGGGAATATGGCAGAGCTCAAGTGAGCCGCTCCCGTCGCCGCAGCTCTGCCAGCTCCCTGCACCCACCCGGGCCACCCCACCACCCCCAGGCTCCCCTACTCCACAGTTACTACGGGATCGTCTCTACCTTTCTGATACTCCAAGGTCTCTGCAGGAGGCGAAGAATTCCTCTGCAATACATGAAGTCCTACATCCTGGGATAACTTTAAACAAATAGACAGCAGTTCTCACTCTGATGGCTCCTTCCTGTCTCTTCTGATACGGCCTTTGGGCTGGCTCCCAACCAAGAGCTTTTCCATGACACCTGAACGCCTCCGCTCCTTTCTCTCCCATCACATCGTCTTATCTGGGTACCTGTAAGTCCTCTCCTCTACTCACAAACACTGATCCTTCCCTTCACTTGATTCATCACTCCACCTTCAGCTTCCTTCACTGCCTCCAAAATCCCCCATCCTCCAAGAGATCGGTGTGGACAACACAAAAATACCACCCAAGGACACCACGGCCCAAATCCTCACTCCAGCTTAGGGAGATATCCTGGTCTTTGTTCCTCTGGGAGTTTTGCCATGAAAATCTTAATTTTTGCATTTAAAGGTAGGAAGGAGAGTTGTGGTCTTCAAGGTCTGATTTTCTACCCAGCAGGGATCTGGGACTCTCACTCCAAAATCGTCACGGTGATTACGAAGCGCTTTTATTAGAAAGATGCCCGGGTGCCACGTGAAGTCTTTGCGATGGAGACTCCTCCCCACTCCTGAGTAAACTCTTCCAGTGATTTAGCTACCTTTCCTCTACAAACATGCACCTCATTTCCAGGCTTAATTAGGCAGCCCGCACCGCTGGATGTTGTTACGCCCACGTTTACCTCATTAAGCTTCAATCATCAGCCCTTGGGTCTATCAATGCCTACAGAAAGCACCAGGGAGCTCACGTGGCTTCTAAAGATCACAGTGACCGGGGGAGGAAAATTAAACCAATCACTTGCAAATAAGTCTAAAAAAAAAAAAAAAGGAGAAAACACCTTCTACAAGTTAACTTCATTATTTAGAGTTTTAAAAAAAAAAAGGTATGTGATCCTGGCACTGCAAACCAGCACAGTTCTACCCCAAACCGTGCAGGGCGAGTTGTGAGGCTGCCGGAGCGTTTCCAGAGATGCCCCGTGCAGTGGCTGAACGCTGCCCAAAGCTTCACATCAGCCCTCGTGCCTTCCTGACTATTAAAAAAAATTATTTCAAAAAAATGGTCAGCTCCTGGCAGAGACTGGGGCAGAGGAGTCTTGGTTTTAAACAAAGAATTGGAGATTGAGGAAAGACTTTTTTTTTTCCCCCTCTATACCAAAATAATTTTTGCATGCTTTAAATAAATAGCTACTAATAAACAAAAAAATCAAAAAGTATTTTCTCTTCTGGCTGAAAAGAGGCACCAGGAGAGAAAACAGGGCTGCGTTTGTACTCACCTGGCTCAGCAACTCTCATGTTCTACACACACACTGGTTTGCAAAGGAGTTGTTCAGCTCTTTCCACCCACGGGCTCAGCCAGCAGTACGGCGTGCCCCTTGCCTGTAAGCAGTCGAGTGCACCATGCCGATCTCCAGGGAGATTTTGGGCGAGATTCTTCAAGGAACAGCGCCTTCCAGCAAAAGTCCAGATTGCTGATATTTACCCGCAGGCGCTACAGGGCTAGAGGTTGTCTCCTGACAATGCCAGGGGAACAAGGGAGAGCCCCAAACCCCGGCTTGTGCCTTCAGAAACACCCCCCGTTGCGGGAGGAAGCGGGTTGCGCCCGTATGGGTACCCGCGGATCTGCTGGCTCGCAGGGCCGGCACAGATCTCGCAACGTGACGCCGGGCGAAGCTCCCAGCGCTGCGGGAAATGCTGAGGATGGCGTGGGTTTTCTGGGAGGTCTGCAGGCAGAGGGCTGAAGGGGCCCACAAGAAAACCGCACGGTAACAGAACATACAGGTCTCACCTAAGCAGATCCCGCTGCCTCTGTGGATTCTGGAGAAGTCGCAGTAGAGTCCCTTGTGATGATCGCAGGGTTTCTGCAGGGAACAGAGCTCGCCAAGCTGCCTGGCACACACCTTGCAGCAACCACAGGCATCCAACACCTGGCTGGTGCCAGCGGGGCACTGCAGAGGCTGGGAGGGACACTGGCATGGATACGTGCAGGCCTGCGGTTCTACCTGGAGGGCAAACAAGCCGTGGAGAGAATGAGTCTCCCGCAAGCCAGCCAAGCAGGGGGATGAAAAACACGGTTCTGCTTCAAGCACAGACACCCCGTCAAGAGGAGGGAAGCCCGACTTCACCCTCCACCGCAGAGCCCTGCTGCAGAGCACGTGCGTGCCGCTCCCACGGACTCGCAACGCTCGTCTTTTTCCCATCCCAAACTCCTCTGGAGCTCAAGGGGGGGGGGAAAAAAAAAAGAGATGCCTGTGGGAAGCAGGGCCAAACCAAACAGGACACGCAGTAGCTTGGAGTCCCACGCGCAGCTCAGCCCCCCGCTTCCCTGGGAGCAATAAAATCGTCATTACTGACAGCAGCGATCCCCAGCGCTGACGTAGCGCGGTTCAGGAGAGAACATCAAAGCGCTCGGCGGCAGCAGCATCGTCAGACCCAGGCCGAGGATGGAAAAAGCAAGACGCACAGTGAAAGGACTTGCTCGAAGTCAGCCAGCGCTGAAAACTCACCCAACAGCTCCCAAGTCCCGTTTTGTTCCCTGGATCTCATACTTGCCCAGAGATCTTCGCTCTCCTCTCCCCTTTCCGGGGACTGCAGCGTGACCAACCTGCCTTGGGACCTTGTGAATCGAGAGCTGCCCCTCTCAGTAGCATTTCAGAAGCGCTGGCGACCTCTTGAAACCCACCCTCGGCTTTTAGGCCACTTCAGACGCGAAGCAGAGATCCAGCTGGGTCTGAAGGAGGGTCACCTTCTCCAGAAAGCCCGGGATGGTTCAAACACCGATACCTCAGTCTGTGGTATCTGCTTGGAGCAGGTACACCAGCCTCAGCTCTGGATGGGCCCAGAGTTGGGCAAGATGTACAACCACGACTGCGAAAGGTGCAGAGCGTGGGGTCTCTGAAGGCCCTCTTAATACCCCGGACACGTCGGTGTGCCAGCTCTAGCCTGCTCTTCTCTTCAGCTTCTGCCTCCTCAGATTCTCGGGGTAGTTCAGAGGGATGCCAACGGGGCAAGCCCCAACTGGCCCCGCTGCCAGACTCAGCCATTGCCACCCAGGGCGAGGGGCTGAAGCAGCTGGAAAGAGCCTGAGGGCGGGCGGGAAGGAGGGACACCCGGAACAGAAGTCAAAAAACCGTCTCGCTACGGCTCTGTCTGCACTTGTTACAGCCCATCCAGCCCTCGCTTGTGAAACAGCTTCCTTGGATATGGTGTTTGTCACCAATAACAGTAGCAAAACTTTTCCAGCTGTTTTGCCTGTTGCTCAGAACAGCTGCTCTGACTTTAGCTCACACGGGGCCTGAAGACGCCAGCTGCTTTGTCGTCCTGCACGCTCACCCCCGGGCGGCGTAGGACAGGGCTCACTCTCAGCCTCAACTCACGAGTCCTCCCCGAAGTCTCACCCTGCTCCGCAGGAATCGGCGTCATTCTCCTTGAAAGCTCCTAGAGCAAAGTATTTTGGAAAGGAGCCGCCCCTGCCTGGAGCCCAGCTGTGCTCAGCGGCAGCCCGAGAGCCGCTGGCCGGGAGCTGGCGTGTCGCAGGGATCGCTTCCCGCCCGGCTGAAGTGCATTAAAAGACGCTAAAAATACAGAAATGCTTTCCTACTGTTTTCCATGTCTGCAACCGCCGTGGCTGCCAACAGGACGTGTTATTCGACCACGGAGGAGGGGGCGGGGGGTACATGAGATCACAAAAGAGGCAAGGCATTCCTAACACAGGACCTATATTAAGATGCAATGCGCGCAGTTAAAAAACATAATGACAACAAGCATTTTCCAACGCAGCGTCAGCCACAGGCCATATAAAGAAACGCTCTCAAAATAGCTCTCCTACTGAAAAACAAACCAAAACAACCTCTTTCAGGATAACAGAGAAGGCAACGGAACGAAACCCAACTGAGTTTTCTCTCTCGCCTCCATTAATCATTGCTGGCGCTGTTTATTGCCTTTAATAACTCACCCAAAGCAACCAGACCACCTGGGTTTACCTTCTCTTCACCACCAGCTTCACTTCCTCGCTATAGTACGGCTGCTTTTCAGCACAAGAACATCTGGATTCAGATCTTCGAGGTACCAGAGACCTGCTGGGTGACTCTGCACCCCTACCTCTGCCGCGCCTCGTTTCCCCCCGTGAGCAGCAGCGCGGCTTAAAAGGCCCAATTCACCCGTGTTTCCAGGGCTCTCTTCAGTACTTTGAGACTTTTCCGATCAGCCAGCTCAGCCATGCCTCTCTTCACCACCCAGTCCACCTGCCCCAGGGTGTGTTGGGGCTCCTGTTTGCTTGTTTTATTACTGAGCAAAGTCGGCTTTGTGCTATTTATAACTCCCGCGCCTCTCACGGGCCCGGGAGAGCAGAGAACGAGCTGAAATCCTTTGGGGCTCATGCACACTCCACAGGGAGCACTGAGCAACTGGCTGGCGAGGGGAACTTCTTGAGGTGGGAACAGCTGGTAGGAAGTCAACGTTGATCCAACTTCCTAGAGTTCTCCATCACTTGATTTGCTCTCACAGCAACGTCAAGTAGGCTAAATATTGGACGACATCGCGCTTGCATGGAGCACCCTCCACCCTGCATTATCTTCAAGGACCGTTTCTAGGAGTTGTTTCAATTGCAGTGTGGAAACCGCCCAAACTGCCCCAAAGAACTGCAAGAACTTGCATTGAGGGCTTCGCTACAGACCCATACGTGACACACAAAGACCCATTTCCACATAACAGGCCACCGACCTGGGCGCAGAGGGGTTCGACTTTGAGAACGTTGCATTTTCTTCCCCCTGCAGAAGGGTCTGTCCCCCAAACTACGCTTTTACCTCCATTGAGCAGGACCCTGACTCCAAGTTCGCTACAGCCTTGACCCTGTTTCTGTGGAGGTTAGCAGTGTGCCTCTGTGAACTTTGAGAGCGGCAGAACAGAACCAGTGTTAGAGATCAAGGCTATAGATTTAAGAAAGTGCTAAAGCCTGGAATATCAGCTCTCCCTCCTCCTGGCTTTGCTCCAGCTCTGGTATCGATCACAAACACCATGTGGGAATCTGCCACTCCCAGGACCCCTGAGCGATGGCCAAGCCACAACGGGAGCGCAAGCGGCCTGCCCAGAGGACTCCCTTGCCTGTGCTCCACGCACGTGCTCCTCCACTGACTCCCAGGTCCCGTCTGCTCAGCTGACAAGCCAGAACAAGCTTCCTCCCAACTGCCAGCACCAAACCCAGTTACCTGGGGGGGGAAAGAAAAAGCCAGGATGTTCTTCCTGCTTCACACTCACATAAAACCTCTTCTCCCCACACCCTCAGGAAGGCACGAGTCAGGGGGACACGAGCTCACGCCACTGCAGCGCTTCTGTGGCATCGCCAGGACTTCTCATCCCTGACGGTCAGTGGCCACGCGAGCCCAGGGAACCAGCTAAGAGGGCCAAACCAAAGAGGGGCTTTAAAATGCGTTTGGGCTCACGACTGCACTCCGAGGGCTGGGAGAGGAGCGTTCTGAAGCTGAGCTAGCCGTTGGCAAAGTGCTTTGGGAGCCAGGGGTTAAGGCTGCAAGGTGGAAGCAACGCAACAAACACGCAACTGGTTCTCTTCCCCACACCAAGGCTGGCAGTAGATGAAGCCGGCAAATTTGGCGCAGCTATTCACATGCTCCACACGCTGCGTGATCGTGGGTAATACCTGCTCTCCCTCCGTCACAGGCTCTCAAGGCACCTGCCCAAGGTTGCTGCAGCGCATCGTGCCGCGGCCCATTAGGAGAGGCGAGAACCGCCGCCCCGGTTCACCGACGGAGAGCGGAGACGTGGAGACTTGCCCAGGCTGAGCCTGGCAGAGCTAAACGTAAATCCCTGCAGCCCTGGTTCTACTCCCGCCTCTGAACAACACAGGAGGCAGACTCAGGAGTAAGCGCTCTCGTTTCCTTGCTCGATCCCCTAAACATCACTCTCAGGGCTCCAAGGAAGCCAAAAGTCCCATTTCCAAGGCAGGCGGCAGGTTTGGGGAAAATGACGTCATCTCAGAGCAATCACACAGAGCGGTGGGACTCGCTGCTATCGTTTCCATGGCCAACACAAAATGCCAAAGCCGGGTCAGCGCAAGAAACACGCGGATGACCCCAAACCGCAGAGGTTACCCTTAGGTCACGGCAGTGTTAGGTGCACAGGACACCGTCCCTGGCAGGAAAGGGCTGGCACACGCTGGGTGCTGCCAGGGACAATCGAACAGACCTTATCAACCAGCAGTTTATTGCCTCTATCAGCACAACAAGCCGTGCAACGCTCTGTGAACCTGCTCTCTTCACCAATCCAAAAGGCACTTCGTGCAGTTTAGGTACGTTAACGACTGCCGCAACGTTCCTGCTGTTACTGGCGCCGCAATAGCACACGAAAGTCCTAAGCAGGATCAGCGGCTCTGTCAAGCGCTTGTATTAACAGAAAAACAGGCACAAATCCTGCTCTGGAGGGGCTGCAGTCTAACCTCCCCCTCGGGATCACTGCTTTTGGGAACACAGGGGTGGATTCAGTGGCAGCTGGGGAAGGCTGGTGACGGTGCGGAGCCGGGATACGCGACTTTTATTCCTTGCAGTGACATAAACTCAGTGACCCTCTGTTCTCTTCTCCCCCCGCCCCCTCCCTTGTAAACCAGGGCTGGCTTCTAGCTCCCAAGAGTGGAGGGAAACAAAATCCATTCGCGTTTGCCAAGAGCTCTGAGGTCCGGAGATGACAGGCGTTACGCGCTGCAGCTCCGAGCGTGATTTAGTTACACGGTGCGTTTGCGTCGCTCCGCCGACAGCCAAACTTCCCTCAAAACCTGCGGAGGCAGGTGGCAGCTGGGAAGAGTTACTCAGCCTAAAGCATTCGCATGCATCAAAGCAAGAAGCTGCAATGCCCAGCCAGCAAAGGGAGCTGCCGCAGTACCGTACATACCCAGCCAGGTGCAAGGAGGAGGAGGAGGAGGAGCAGGGTCCGGGTCACTGCCCCCCAGTTGCCAGCCATCCCGAGTAAAAGGAAGGGAGGGGATTCAGGCTGCCGACTGACTCACTCCGTCTCCTTCGGAGTTTCTCTTTGGGGAAAGTCGCACACCAGCTCCTCTTTAAATAGCCTCCTGGAGGGGGCGTGCCCCTCGCTTGAGTGACAATCTGGAAAGCAAGCCGAAATGGGTGCAACAAAAAATGTTCAAATTCCAGGGAACACGAGCAGATTCCTGCGGCCCTGGCGGTTACGGGGCTGCCGGCGCAGCCCGCAGCTTGGTCGCTTTCCACGTGGGTAAATCAAATCCCAGCAAAAGCAGGATTATTATTTTTTAATTTTTCCTCTTTTCACCTCAAAAGTATGAAACCTGGGACAGTTTCCTTGCCACAACCC